TTCTTCGTTACTTAACGAAATCACGAGCCGTTTGTTGGGCTGGATTTGTATCGTCTGGGGATACAACTTTGGTTCAGAAAGTATTTCGAGATAATGTATGGAAAATTTCAGTTTTTACCTAGAAGTGGGCTGCTGTGTTTGAACTCAGGATTTTAGAAACTTTAGCTACTTTCTTCTTGCTCCTTCTTCTTCCTTAACATGAAATCATGGAGTTGGAATATCCTTTTTCCTTCCTTGGTGCCTGACCGACAGAGAGAGAGAGGTGAAGAGGAGAGATGATGGATGGATGATTGGTGATGATGTTTGATGATGAATATGTGGTGGAGAAAATGGAATAAAGGTGGGAGTATTATATAGGAAGGGTTGGATTATAGTGTTAGTGGAGTGGAGTGGGGTAGCTAAGGAGAAAAGGTCTCGTGATTGAAGGAGTTTTGAAGATTTTAAAATATTCTCCTACTCCGTAACTGATAAACTGGCTAAAACGGTACGCGCTTTTTCGCCTAAATTGTTTCGAATTGAAAACGGATTATGTTTTTGGAAACAGACTGTCTCAGTCATAAATTAATTCAATAATATAAATGATATAAAAATATATGAATTTAATTCAAAAGATAAATATGGTGTTGTCAAATGTCAAAGATTTAGATTTCTAATTTTAAGAAATCTCTTTTGAATTGAGTTTATTTTATGAGTCAAAGTTACAATTTTTAATATTTAAAATCGTCATAGTTTGGAATTTATAAATGAGATTGATTCATAAAATGTACCGTTGGAATCGCCTCTTCGGGACATATCCATAAAAATAAGTTTTTAACAAAAAGTCATTATTTTGAAAATCTATTTATTTTTGGTCAAACATATAAATAATCCTTATTGGACAAAAACTACTTTTGTTTTATAATAAATTTTAGGCCATATTTTGTGGCGTTACAATATATATATATATATATATATATATATATATATATATATATATATATATATATATATATATATATATAAGGGCTGGTTCAAGTGAGAATGCACCTTGGTGAAAGAAATAAGAATAAAATCTGGCCTTTCGATCTGATGCATCGTGCGGCTTAGATTGCATTCTGCACTCAAATTTTGAGATAGTTTATTTTCAAAGGATTATGGTGCATTTCGACATGATGCATTTTCAAACCTTGTTGCACCTAATTTTGATGCAATCCTAACTCTTAGATCTCCCAATCTAATGCACCAGATTCATTCTTATTTCTTTCATTAGATTGCATTCTCACCTGAACCAATATATATATATATATATAGATAGATATATATATATATATATATATATATATATATATATATATATATAAATCACCCTACATAGCACACTAACTCACCTTAAATTACGTATCTAGCACTATTCATTATTTTTAATAAATTTAGCACTTTTTGGTGTCAACCCTTTCCTATCATGTCCTTTAACCTTTTTTCTTTTTCTCATTAACAATTACAGCACTCCCTAGGCCGCACGTACGTACTCTCCTTCCCTCGGCCGCACGTTCTCCTTCAGTCGCCTGCGATCATGCATCCTCACGCCTTCTCCCACGATTCATGGGCCGATCATCAGCGACAAACATTAGGTTATCTCCGATTCCTTCATCGATGTGGCTAATCATTTTCTCTTCTCCTTCAATTTTTAATTTTTATTCCTTCATCCCTTTATTCGGATTTCCATGTATTTTTAGTTTAAATTATTCTGT